TCACACCCACACTCATTCACACATGCACACTCATCTATATTCATATACCCATGTATGCACAGATACATGCCAATCCACACATTTTCACATGCAGTCACGATCACTCATGCACATGTAAACAAATAAACACACCCACATGTGCAGGGCTCACTCTAACTCCTGCAATGCACATGGTCACACATGCACACTCACATTCACACACTCCCCTCATGCTCACGTACCTGCAACGTCCTATCACACACATTCACACTTACATGCACCCATTTACACAGCCACACACACACTCTTACCCCTGCTCCGCTCAGAGTTCTCTACAGCTGCCCTTCATGCACGGCCCACCTACGCCCCGCCTGGGTGTAAGTCTCCAGGGAACCCTGGCCAGGCCCTAGTCTGGATGGGTCTAGGTTGCCTTGCCATCCGTGGAGGGGCGTGTTCAGTCCATGCATGGGTGGCAGTGGTGGCCTGGCTGAGCTGTGGGATGGCCAAGCAGCCTTGCAGACCCCACAGCCTATGCCCCGTGGTTGCTTTCAGCTGGTCTGGGAGACTGGGGGTTAACACAGGCCCCAAAGCTCTGGGCATTACATTTCATTAAAAAAAAAAAAAACATCAGAAAAAAAACACAACTCCACAGGCGAAAAGGGAGAAAAAACATTTTTTTTTTCAGGTGCTAAAAATATGATCAGGAAATACTTTTCCGCACTGTGCTGCTCAGGTCCCCTCCGGACTCAAGGGCGCCTTTGTCTCGGCCTGGGCCCAGCCACATTTATCATAACCCACATCGTTTTATCAGGAGCCTGCGCTCGGCCAGAAACCTGAGCTCTGCCGGCTGGCTCTGGACATTTTAATTTAGGGCCCAAGTGAGTGTGCCATTTAGGTCTGGGGGCCCTGGCAGCACCCTCAGGACAGCAATGAGGGGGGCCCTCCCCTGTACGCTTGCCCACTGGGCTGTTCTGCTGGCCTCTACAGAGCCTTGGGCTCAGGGTTGGGTTGCCAGTGGTGGGGTGGGTGGATGGCACCCCCAATTTTATTTCTTGTCCCTCACCCCCGAGGGACCCCCTCCAGACCATGGCTCCAATGTGTTGATAGTGCCTGCCCTGGTAAACCTCCTTTTATGGGGGTGGGGGGGTGGAGCAGGCAGGTTGGCCAAGGCCAGGGCTGGAAGAGAGGGGCAGGGGGCTTGGACGTTTGGACGCTAGGCTCCCGCTGAGCCCAACCCTGCAGGGCAGCTCCAAGCCCACCCTGGCCTCTTCACCTCTGGTTGCCAGAGTCACGCTGAGAGGACGGCCAGTCTGGAGAACATTCCCTGTTGCTGTCTGTCCTCTGCCTGCACTGGTGCTGTGTGCTGCAGGCCTGCAGTGAGCTGAGCTTTGGCATCCCACCCGCTACAGGACCCGTCTTCTGTGTGTTCCAGGAGGGGAGGACAGCCCCAAAGGTCACAGGGGGCTCTCTGGCCCGTGCAACATGCCCTTGCTGCAGTTCAGTGACATGGGAGGCATTCTGATGTCAAAGTGTCCAATGGGAAAGGACGCTCCTGAGTGGGGTATGCATAGCCCTCCATTATGGATGGAATCATGTCTCTTACTCCCCCCAAAAATGTGTCAACCCGACAGGGCTGGGGCTCTCGGTGTGATATGATGTAACTATGCTACTACATTCTGTGATCTGATGTCATCCTCCTCGGTGTTGTCAGTCAACCCTTAGTACCATGAAGTGAATGAGGCTCCTGTGCTTAGAGCCTACCTTCCTTCCAGGTAGCTGTCTCCCTGGTGGTCTCCTGTTCCAGGCACCCTTTGACCCCCCCGCTAGCCTAATGTCCCCGACACAGAAGGGTGTGGGAGGGGGGCTGGTCTCCAGGCCCTCTGGTCAGGGCCTGGGAGGGTCCTTTGGACATCCCCACTGAGTCCCAAATCCTTCAGTCAGAGTCCCCAGGGCCACGGGCACTTGTAGGAATTTTGCTTCTGTCCCAGTGTGAACCCGGCCCATCTGCCTCTGGGGCTCCGAGGAGTGTGTGGGTGGGGTGGTCTCAGGCACTTAGCAGTTCCCTGAGTAGGGATTGCTGACATGTACGCTGGACTGGCCTCACCCCAGCTCCCTCCTCAGGGGGGCTCCCTTGGGTGTTCAGCTGGCCAGGCACCCCCTGTCCCTGGTCAGTACACCTGCTCCTGCCTCAGGCAGGGGGCGAGGCCTGAGAGGGCCCCCTCGGGCCAGCCCAGCCTGCTGCAGTCAACCTGCACTGCCTCTCGGATGCCTGGTTGCTGTGGGACCAGCTCCGGGTTGCGCTGCGGGCATTGGACACAGGAGGCACACACTGGTCGTTGCCGGGCATGTGAGCGAAAATGCCCATTTATTTCCAGGAGCATTCTCGAAACACGCCCCTTGTGTTGGTGAGTACCCAAGCCACTTCCCACATCGATTTAACATTTGTTAAAATGGAAATCACCCTGGTGTCCCCAGCCAGTACCCTGGACCCCCAGGCAGTCACCTCTGCCGGATCTGGGGGACTTCACTTCGACTCTGAGTCACCATCGGCAAGTGTGCACCCAGGCCTCCTCTGTGTGGACCGGGGGTCCCAGAGGAGGGGCCGTGAACCCAGGCACAGGGATGTGTGTGTGGGATCTTGGGAGGATGCTGGCTTCTCACAGGAGGCCCTTCCCCTCCCCATGCCCTTTTATTGAGGGGGGGGGCGTTCTCCTTGAGCAAACTGCAGTGGGCGGGAGGGTGGGCAGCTGGGACGTGTCTGAGCATCTTCCCACACAAGCCCACTGCCGACCAGTGGATTCTGACTTGTACCAGGCTTCTGGGACTGTGTATCTTCATGGACGCAGGCAGCCTCATTGCTCTCCCTCAGAGCGGCTGGTGGGTTTGAACCACAGGCCTTCCCATTACCAGAGCAATGCTGCACCCTTCTGTCAGCCACCGAACACCTGTCTTGAGTGCCAGACATAGGCCCTACTCTGCAGCAAGCTCTGGCCCAGGACGTGAGCCACCTGCTTCCACTGTGGCGGACCGAGGACAGGGCACACCCACCACCACTCACTCCTCGGCCAGAGGGTCCCGCTCCTGGCCCCGAGCCTGGGCTGAACTTCAGAACCCTTCTTAATCCAGTCCCTGCACACCAGACAAAGCCAGCAGGCAGAATAAAGCTGACCGAGCCAGCTGTTCTGAAGGTTAGCACACAGATTCCCAAGGCCGGCGGAGCTCTCTGGGGATGGTGGAGGCTGCTGTGGCTGCCTGTGTTGGACTTGAGGCTGCCCATGAGCCACCTGAATCCTTAGGGAGTGGCAGGGACACGAGAAGTCACAGGGGCCAGGGCCCCCAGACAGTGCAATCCCACCACCTCCAGAGCAGAAGTGCCGTCTGGAGAGGTAGAGACTAGGTGCCCCGGGGTGGGCCGAGGAATGTATGTGCAGGCCTGAGATGGGATGAGGACATCTGAGGGATGCTCTGCCAGGATGTTCCTGGGGCCTGGGGCAGGACAGCAGGGTGGGCTGCAGCCAGCATGTAGTGGCGTGAGTCACAGGGCCTTGGCTTTGAGCCACTTTCAGCCACCTGCCACCATGACGGTGGGAGGTTCCGGACGTGGGTTGGTGGATCCACTTCCCATGAGCCTCCCTGGGCTTACAGAACCAGGGCATGGGATATGGTTGGCCAGTGGTGACTGGCAACAGGATCCAAGGGAGCAGGCTTCCAGGGGCTAGTCCCTCAGGACCTCGGGAGAGGGGTGGGCCTCCTCAAACCACATGGAGCTGGTCACCCACCCCCACCCCCACCCCCAGGCAGGGCTCACCCACCAGGTGCCCTGAGGATGGACCCTGACCAGGTTGCTCCCAGCAGCACACAGTCCCCAGGCCTCCCATACCCGTCAGGTCTGCAGAGGTCAGGTGCAAGGCAGAGGTCAGGTGCAGGGCAGGACAGCTCATTTGCGGGCCTGGGAGGCCTGTCGCTGCTTCTCTTACTGGTCTAGCTGCTCCTTCAGGCTGGCCACCTGGGGACAGGGTCAACACTCAGAGGGGCATGGAGGCCAGACTCCCCAGGCCCATGGAGGGCTCTGGGACAGAATCCCCAGGAGGAGAAACGGCAGACAAACAGGCAGGCAGGCAGACACCCTGCATGGAGAGGGCTCTCTCTACACTCTGACAACGGTGCAGCCCATCTGCTGGAAGTGGTCTGACCCTTTGGGGCAGGGTGGCGAGGCCCCCGTGGCAGGAGGCATTAAAGTGGGGGTGGGAAGCGCCCCCTGCAGGCCCTCGGCTCACCTGCTGCTCCAGCACCACCACCTGCTGCTGGTGGCTTCTCTCCTGGGACTCCAGGACCTGTGTGGCCTGCAGCTGGGCCCCTCGGAGCTGCTTGGCCTCCACAGCCAGGTCCTGCTGGTGCTTGGCGGCCAGCTCTCGGAGCCGCTGGGCATGGGCCTGCTCCAGCTCTGCCATCTGGGCCTGTGCCGACAACCTGGTCACCTGCAGCCCCTCCCTGCCGCCTCCCTGCACTGCCCATAGCTTTAGCAGCATCCCTGCAGCCCACCCACAAGGTGCCACCGCCTGCTCCAGTTCCCCCTGGGGCCCCAGGTATGACTGGCAGTGCCCTGGCCGGGCTGCACGTCTGCATTTGATACACATAAAACCAGGGCCCAGCCCGTCCTCTCCATTTGTGCCTGCGTGTGAGCATACGCACGTGACACGGGACCCCACGGGGTCCCCCAAACACACACACACACACACACACACACACACACACACACACACACACACAGCCCGGGGGCAGCCCTGACCTGTAGCTGCTGGTTCTGCCGAAAGGCCCCGTCCACCTCCTGGTGCAGAGTGCTCAGCGACAGTTCCAGCTGCTCCTTCTCGGCCCCCAGCCTGGCCGCAGCCCCCTCTCTCTTCACAGTCTCTCCTTCCATCTGCAGGGGGGTGGGGGTGGGTTCTGGGGCAGGCTGGATTGACCTCCTGGCAGGGGGTAAGGGTCAGGTTCCTTTCATGGGATCAGGGGGTGGTCAGCCTGGAGGGAGCCTGGTTGCCTGGACAGGGCTCTATATTTCCCGAGAGCTGCGGGGGCGGGGTGGGGAGGGCAGGGCCATCAGGGCCAGCAGACAGCTGGTTTGTCCTCCTCCTGCAGCCCCACTTTGCCACCCACCCCATGCTGGGACCAAGGCAGGAGGCCGAGCTGGAGACGGGGAGTGATCAAGGAGCCAGGTGTGCAGGCAGAGGGCCTCAGTGGCCCATCCTGACAGCAGAACCTTCCCAAGCTCTGCTTCCGACTGGGAGCTCCACGAAGACCAAGGTTCCCAGGGGCACCAACACTGCACCTGCTTCACACCCTCAGCCCCCAGGCCAGGTCTCCGGCAGCGTGCCAGGCAGGATGTGGCCTGGGGGTCCCGGGTTGGCCCCTTGGATGGAGGACTTGGGACAGGCTGCCCTCTGGGCTGTGGCGGTGGAGTGGACAGGCCTGGCTGTGTGCCCCTGAGGCGCCGGCCGAGGGTCAAGCTGGGGTCAAGGCTGGACTGTGACACATACTGGGGTGGATTTTCCTCAGGGCTTGGAAACAAAGGGTGGACCTGCCCTGGGAAGGGGGTCCTGTTCCTTTAAATCTCCAGCTGCTGCTGGCCCTGTTTGCTGGGAGGCCAGGGAAGTGGGAGCCAAAAGAAACAGCCACATGGGTCCTCTCCGGAGACACCAATAAAGGGTTTACAGCTCGCGCAGCCTCACAGCTGACCTCCTGGCACACACGTGCCTCCAAGGAGCGGGCACCATGCCCACAGCTGCTCCGTGGTTCCCGGCACTGCCACTGCACCCACCCGCTGCTCCACATGGCCCTCAACTGGCAGGGGCGGCCAGTGACAGGGCCCTCCCTGTCCTCCCTGTCACCTCTGACGGACCTCCTGTGATGCGTTCTGTGCTTCCCGGGGACACACTGCGGAGGTGGAGGTGGAGGTGGTGGA